TATTTCAATCATTATAGGAATAAAATGTTAAAATTCAGGCTCTTTAGGTACAGTGATTTAAACTGTGCGTTGATAAATCAGTCAGTTAGTCACTGTAACTGTGTTTTTACAGTTACAGCACAATTTGCTTAAACATAAATATTAAGTTGTATAAATTTTATTTTAATACTAGCATTACCCGCGGCTCCGCCCGCGTTCAAATGAGAAAAACCTAATTCTTAAGTTTTACATATTAGTATACTCTTACATGCAGTTTTTATTTTTTTTTCTCAGAAATGAGATATTTTCCCGCGGTAAAAGTATCCTATATTATGTTGACCCGGATAACCAGTTATCACCATACCAAATTTCATCAAAATCCCTCCAGTGGTTTTTCCGTGATGCGGTAACAGACAGACAGACAGACAGACAGAAAGACAGACGGCTTAGTTACAATTTTATTATATGTATAGACTATAGATATAGTTTCAGACTAAGAATCTACGGAATGGCTTCATGTGCGAGCACCTCTTAAAACTTGACTATTTAGTTTGTACTCTATAAAATAAAACGTCGTAACTTGCTTATTGCATTTATATTGTTAAGTTAAACAATGTTGTAAAAGTATCTTTAAACAATTACAGTGTTTATGTTTCATGTAGAGAATATTTGTTTGTTTGTTTATTTGTAAGGATGTTAAGGAGAATATGGTTTGAACCTGTGTTGTAAATTCTCTTACTTAGGTATACTTTATGCCTTTAAGTATGTAAGTTTTTTTTAATACATAATTGTTTCGAATGAGACATGAATTAAACATATATATAATAAAATCCTAACTGAGTCGAATCTGTACACTAAATATGTTTTGGAAAATCTTATTCAAATAGTCATTATTGTCGATACAGAGGCCGAATCTATAGTTTTTAGAATTATTGTCTGTCTGTCTGTCCGTCCATCCGTCCGCCTGTCTGTCTGTCTATCTGGGATCGAATCATAACATATCCAATGGGCAGATTTTTATGAAATTTGGTATTATGATAGCTGGTTGCCCGGGTCAACAAATAAGATACTTTTTACCGCGGGAAAATGTCTCATTTCTGAGAAATCTCTCTCAATAAAATATTATATACAGTTAGCGCCATCTTCTGGCAATTTTTTTTATTAACAATAGTCTATATGTCACTCCAGATTATACAGAAGTACTTATATCTAAGAACTATCCATAAAGTACAATTTTTTTATAAAAATCGGTCAAGCTGTTTAGGAGGAGAAGAATTACGAACAGACGCACATGAATTTTATATCTAAAGATAAATATACTTTCCTTAGACATCGAAATTTCTTATCAAAAAACACAAACTAAAACAAATCTCTATGAAGCAACTAAGGCGAATAAAAAAAATAATAAAATGCTACATCAAAACAAGCTAGAGTTATAACGAGAAAAATATGTAAACATAACAGGAGGCTATGTACTAGGAGACCAGCACTTGTATAGAGCTTTTTTCTTTATCGCTATTTGAATTTAAACCATAATGAAGTGAAAATAAGGTTTATTTTAATTTGTTTTTGTGAACTTTGTTTAAGGGGTGAGATTCAATAACGTGGCGACGTGATGGCGGATCCAATATAAGTGTTTGCAACCACTGCAACCATTTTATAGGGCATTGTAATGAAATTCATATAGCTTTTATGATAAAGCTCTTTACTCATGTTGGTACTTTAATTTAGAAGTGGATGTTGGGTAATAGCATACTGTATTTCTTAAATATTTATTAGATAACATGGTGGTTTTTTATATATGGTATAAGATAATTAGTGTCAGATATACTCGATTTTTTGCTTTTGGGAAACATAATATACTAGCGAATAGCTAACAAAAACAAAGCTATCCCACGGGAACTATACTTCTTCCGGGATAAAAAGTAGAATATGTGTTATTCCAGACTGTAATCTATCTCTGTGCCAAGTTTCATCCAGATCCGTTCAGCCGTTCATGAAAGAGTAACAAACACCCATACTCACAAACCTTCACATTTATAATATTAATACGGATTGACATAATGAGTTTTTATAGTTGTTAGTTAGATTTTTTTTTCTTAATGAATATTTATTTGTAATGTTCGATGGTCAGGAGGGGTCTTGAGATACAAACAGCAGCGTGACGTTGATAGATATTTATTTATCACACGACGGTTAACTATAACTTTAAATTATAACTTTCTTATTTGCTATACTGTAGCTGACTCTGAGGTCCGAAGGAACTCAAGGAACTCCAAGAACTAACATTATGGGTGGAGGACATTATAAACCAATACAACTGTAAACACATTTGGGAAAGTGAACAAACAGTCTACAGTACTAGTACACTCATTAACAATTACTGGTAATTTGATAATTCTAAATGTTGTTTATATAACATTAAAGAACAATAAGTCTAAATGTTGTTTATCTTTGATATAATATTAAAGTACAATAGATTAAAAATATGTAAACATTACATATTTATCTTGAATCAAAAATCAAAATAAATTCGCGAAAAAATCAAAAAAGATAGTTTTATTTAAAATGTCAAATATTCGCGTAAATCTAAGAAAGTATTATTTATTATCTATTGGAAAAGACAATAGTAGTAATTGGTTACGTAAGTTTGGAGCTAAATAAATATTTATTAGACTTTATTACTAATATTGTATTCAGCCCTTTTTAACGTCCCACTGCTGGGCACGGGCCTCCCTTCAATACGAGGGGGATCAGGCCATAGTCCGCCGCGCTGGCCAAGTGCGGGTTGGTGGACTGCACATGTCTTTCGAAAACTTGCTAAGTTCTCTAAGACATGCAGGTTTCCTCACGATGTTTTCCTTCACCGTTAAGACAAGTGGTAATCATGTTGGAAATGATTCGCACATGAAAATATCAGAGGTGCGAGACCCGGGATTTGAACTCGCTTCACTCGGTTTCCCAAGCGAGCGCGTTACCACTGGGCTACCACTGCCTTACTAATATTATTAAACTAAAATTATATGATACATTAGTTCACCTTTTTAAGTTACGATTATTTAATTATTTTATAGTACCTGAATGACGTAAAATCATGTCATTTTCGGAAAAGTTGGGTTTTTTCAGAAAACGCACCTACATATATAGATAAGCATAAGAAGCAAAAACTTACCTAAATTCAAAATTTGATCCAAATGGATAGAGCCGTCTCCGGCTTACACGATATTTTATATAAATACAAGAATTGCTCATAGAGATTATCCCTTATAACGTCACAAACTTACAAACTTACAATTCACAAACTTTACCTCTTTATAATATTAGTATAGATAGATACACTCTGTGGGTTGGATAATTTACATAAATATATTGGAGAAACTATTTATAAGAAAGTTTACCTTTACTTAAAACTAATCTGGTATCACTATAAAAAGAAAAATGAATATTGATATTTTGCCGTAGATCTCTTATAAAATTTACACAAAACATATGAATAGCATACCTTTAGTTTTAAAGTCGGTAAAATATACTGAAAGATACTGAGTCATGAAAATATAGGTAAAGTAAGGGCGAATCACTAGTGTACAATGTTAATGCTTTAAATGCATTCAACTTTGGGTGGTCTTTATAATATGAAATAATTAAAGTATGGGTAGACAAATTGACTCAAGAGAGGTTATCGTCGTAACTCAATCTTCACCCGCATAACTCGAGGAATTTTATTAAATCTCTTAATTTTTCTTTCAATGGCACAATGGTTAATAGAACCAGTTTTATATTATGGTGGGTTCGATGTCTGTCATAGTTGTATTTGGTTTTTCTATAATTTATATTTTACTGTTTGATATATTAGGCTACAAAGTTATTTTTCCACCCATAAATATTTTTTAAAAAAGATAAAGATTCCATAATGTCATATAACTTAACATATTTTTTTTTTATTTTTGACTAAATTTCAAAAAAGGACTGAATCCAGGTGTATTCTTTTGTAAATTATGAGATTTCTTTATAATTTATAATCTGACTTTATGATTACATACAGGATGGAACAAATGGATGGGACATGGAAGAAAAGTACCTTAAACATTTCTTTATTTAAAAAAAGTAATAATAGGTGCATTTAATTTTTTTACAAAAGCTTACCTGAACCGGGAATCGAACCAATTGAAAATGCAAAAAGATACACAGTCACTATTTTATCGAATTAATGGATAGAGTTTATGGTGAGGGTAAAATGTTCCAAACGAAAATTGTATGTTAAAATTAATGAAAATATTTAACCAGCGTGGTGGACTATGGCACTTCTCGCTTTGAACATGTTGATAAATGAAAGAATATTACATATTCAATATTTTATTGTTATCACAAAATACACAAGTATCATACATTATATTTACAAACATATAGATTAAAAATAATTGGTTATAATATATTATTATATAACCCTGATATAAAAAGGTGTATTCAATAAAAAAAATAATTTCTTAACAATATAACTCCTGCGGTTCTGTCTGTCTATTAATTTTTCTCCAAATGTTCAAGCGTCATCCAAATATAAATCTCTATTCCGCTACAAATATTATTATACATTTAAATATCTTAATACTCTGTGTAGTTCAATATATAATATGGGTAGTGGGTATATGTTACATAAAAAGAACCTTACAGTAGCAAAACTTCATTTCCGCGTCAAAAACTTTGCGTAAAAAAGCTCACCAAAAAGCTTATTATTCAATAGAAATTAAAAATATCTCATAAGTTAGGTTTTTTTGTCGTTCAAGATTTTTTTATTTATATACGGGTGCATCTATAAAATTATAACACTTAACTTTAATCTCATAATTCTTATATTCTAAGGAATGCTGGAATTCCAAAAGTATATGTATTATGTATATTATTAAAGACACATGCTATGTTTAAAAAAAACATATTTATAATATATTATGTTAAAAATAATAGTCTATAATATAAATATTGTATTGTTAAGTATATATTATTTTAAACGTATTCTGAAAACTTCATCTTCGTAGTCCAATAAACGTCGTAATAGCACTTGAGAGTAGAATGGTAACAAAGCTTGTGACGCCAAAGTTAGTGCTCGCTGCGTTGTAAAAGCCCCCATATACTTGAAGACCAGCCGTTTCAATACTGAAATGAAAATACATTGTAAATTATATTTTAAAGTGAAACTTTAGAATCGTTGTGATTTGAAACTCGATAAAACGTAAATGCGACACTAAAAAGAGACAAACACATAAGTATATAGGATTAAGCCGGCGAGAGAATGAGATAGAATATATTCGGCAATGTTGCCGTGGTAACCGTTGTTATTCTCTGACAAATATAATATTATATTCTTTCCGTATACGTTAAGCTATAAATATGTATACGATTTTAATATGCCTAAAATGCCTTATTTAATTATTGATTTGTTTTAATTTAATTGCGATATTTGCCAAAAAAGTTTTACTTCAAGCGCGCATAAAGGTTACAAGCACCCATTTTTTTTATTTCACTTATCTACACATGACCGTATACTTTCAGCGAAATAAAATCGAAGCGGTACCGCTTTATGAAATACGAGACATTAACCTCGCTACGCTCAGGAGTGCTGTGTCTGCATGATTTTCAAATTACTCTTAATATATTATATATTAAATTTCATCGAAATCTATACAGCCGTTTTAGCGTAAAAGAGGAACAAACAAACACAGACCATAAGAATTATATTATTATTATGGTAGTGGCTTCATAAACTATTCTTCTACGTTATAAATATTTTGGTGTACAAGTGTGTACAAACACTGGTATACCCTTACTTTCACAGTCTCATTATATGGCAACACGACACGAACCGTAAGGGATCAGCTATATGTGCATTTCGAAGCACAGGGGTGTAATAAAACTAATTTTCTTACTCGATACAAATATTATTATATAGATTTTCTCCAGGACATAAGTATCTTATTATCTGCAACCATATACTAACTTATTATTATCATTTAAGCTGTTTGAATTAAATTAAATATTACATTACCGTTGAGTAGTATCTAATTGGTAGTCCATAGTAAAAAGAGGGTAGGGAGTTCAACAACCCGTTTGGGCAAATATTTATATTTATCACAGATTTGTTTCTACGATATTACAATATTATTATTTTTCGTTGTTCAGTTTAAAAAAGAACTTCATTAGTAACTACCACTTTTTATATATAAAATTCACATCTTCACACTTTCTTTTATTTTTTACATGAAATATTGATATTTACCTGAATTTGCAATAATCGCCATCATAGCTCCACCCTAAGTACTCCCCTGTCCTAAGATTCTCACTACGAAGCCACTCTTCCAAGGGTCTAAAGTAGTCACGTAAAGCTTCCCCATTCAACCTGGTCTCCCCAATCGTGTCTTGGAGAAGTTGAGCCCAGGGCAGGGAAGAACCACGCTCCATAATACGTCTGCAAAGTATGAAATAAGTATGATGATGAATAAAAAAATTTTTAAGATGCGAGTACATGTACTTCATGTAGTGCTAAGGAGGTCATATATTATAGTTTCGCTTTCGTTGTATTTATCGTATTTTATAAAAAAATATGTAAATATATGTAATATATTTAGAAAATAAGATGATAAATTTAAAAATACAGTGGTAGCCCAGTGGTAATACGCTCGCTTGGGAAACCAAGTGAAGTGGGTTCAAATCCTGGGTCACACATCTATGATATTTTCATGTGCTGTGCTTGTGCATTTTCTTGAGGAAAACAGATGTCTGAGAGAACCTAGCAAGTTTTCTAAAGACATCTGAAGTCCACCAACCCGCACTTAGTCAACGTGGTGGACCATGGCCTGATTCCCCTCGTATTGAAGGTATGCCTGTACTCAGGAATGGGACGTAAAAGGGCTGAATACAAATTTAAAAAGATTTATGCTTATTGTACATATCACCTAAATTAAATATATGATTAATAAGATGTCGGAGATGGATGAGGAGCCCGGTAGATAAACCAGTGATCCTTCATCCTTGACTCTGACAGGAAAATTGTTTCTGCAGGTTTTTTTTGCGATGTATAAAAAGCTTTGTTCAATTTTATTGATTACTGGACATTTTTAACTATCATTTAAGAAACATAGAAATCCTCTTGCGAATGTTAGTTTTTTTTAATAAGGGAATACCACAGCCTTTTTTTACTGTTTTTTTTGAGTTTTAGTTTTATTTTGTTGTGTTTTTTATTTTAAGCATTTTAACAGCTTAATAGTTTTGGTAGTTCAAGTAGTTGTCGTAGTATTTTACAAATAGATACAAAAAACCTGTGAATAATAAAAACAAAATGGCATTAAACTAAAATCCTTGGTAAGAAAAAAAATTAAAAGCTATAATGTAAGTGAAAAAGTATTTAAAATAATTTTCATATAATAATCATACATGATTACGTGGAAAGAGTATCATTAAAACTAATAACAAATCATTAATCATAAAAAGAAATCGCAATATATTAAAGCGTGTATCCTTTACTGGTGCGTAAATATGAACATAATTGCTTTCTGAAGTTTGCCTTCAATTTTATAACTATAATAACGGTTTATAAACTGTTATATATATATACATATATATATACATATATAAAAATACGCATATTTTTTTGTTTAATATGAAATAATAAAATTTTGAACGTTTCAGTGCCGGATTTTATTGTGTTTTTATTTCTTCCTCGTCCGAAATAACATATTTTTATAGTAATTTTGTTAACTAATATATGGATAATTAAATCGAAGCTACGCTATTTATCTTCAAGTATAATTTCGGATATTAAATGAAATTATCTTTTCGGAGATCGGAGTCTTTTCCGTGACCATGTTTGATGTAAAGCATTTGAAACTACGACAAAATCCATAAAGATAATTTTATATTGAATATTAAATATTTGCGTAAATCTAAGAAAGTATATTCTCATATTATCTGTCAAATATTATCTGTTTAAGAAATAAATTTTCAAAATCTATTACGGTGATAGAAAATGTCACCATTTTTATTTAATAAATAAATAAAAAACTATGTTGGGACATTAACACACATCACAATCGAGTTCCATGGTAAGCTACGAGACTTGTGTTATGGATACCAGATAGTTCACATACACATATATAACTATAAATACATACATATTAAAAATATAAACGCCCATGACTGGAGTACAAACATTAGTGCTTATGACACAAATGAATGCCCCTAGCGGGACTCGAACCCGCGATCGCTGGCACAGCAAGTAGGGTCACTACAAACTGAGCCAAACGTGTCGTCAACTTATTTGAGTATTTATTTAAAAATATAAACTACGAACTCGATAAAAAGTAAAGCCGTATACAATAGTAGACTATAGTAATTAATGTTTTAGCAGTATTCTGGTTGATTTAACTGATTAATGTGCAATTTCGAATGATGTTGGTATCCAGGGCGGTGTAATTAAACCTTTGAACAAAACTTAGAATAGGAGTTGACAACCTTTTTATTTACATTATGTTTTTTTTTCAAATTCAATTCAAATTCAAAATATTTTATTCAGCATTAAATTCTTACAATTTTTTACTAAACGTCATGAGTCTACTACCAGTTCGGAAAGAAGAAACCTCAGACCTGAGAAGAAACCTCAGACCGGAGAAAGAACTTGTTTCATTATTAATTTATTATTTTCAATATTATACTTTTCATTACTATACATTACTACTAATTATTTGTTTTCAGCCCTTTTTAACGTTCCATTGTTGGGCATGGACTTCTCTTAATACGAGGTCGATCAGGCCATAGTCCACCACGCTGGCCAAGTGTGGGTTGGCGGACTTCACATGTCTTTAAAAACTTGTTGGGTTCTCTCAGATATACAGGTTTTCTCACGATGTGTTCCTTCACCGTAAGACAAGTGGTAATCATTTCCAATGATTCGCACATGAAAATATCAGAGGTGCGAGACCCGGAAATTGAATCTGCTTCACTCGGTTTTCCAAATGAGCGCGTTACCACTGGCTACCAATGCCTATAAATATCATTATTTTATTATATATATCATTAATTTTAATATTATTATTTTCTGAAGCAATGATATTGAACTAGAGCAACATTACAAGAATAATATAATAGGGCTTAATATCTAAACTACGAGTATGAGTACTACAGATAATCGATAAACCAACAATCCTATAACAACCAACAAGATATTTAGAATATTAAGCACACTGTGGATATTTTTATTTAATTCATTTATTTAGTCTCTTACTAAACGAAGCAAAGCTTAAACTGATCTAAAACATTTTGCACGAATAACTAAAGTAAGTTTTTTTTTAATTCAACCTCTAAAGAAGTTAAATATGAAATGAAAGTTACAACGAAATTTTTGATGTTAATTAATTAAACATTTATTTTAATTACCGATGGAAAGTTATACATTACTTAAGCATATTACTTATTTAAAAAAAATCATTGTTAAGTTAAAGATGAAAATCTTAATATGTACCATAGGTTCATGATACCTGGCAAAAAACCCTGACCCGTGATATATGAAATACTACATAGCTTATGTAATACGCGGAGGCATGCTTTTGTCTATATTTTATTAATGTTATACTTTATAGTGTAGTAAGCTTTGAACTGTGGTTTATTTGTATGGAATTCGTTAAAGTCGTTATAATGAACTGACAACTCTCACGTTACGTTTTAACGTTTAATATATATTTCTCAGATAAAGATGAGATATTTCCCCGCAGTAAAAAGTATCCTATATGTTCGGATAACCAGCTCAGCCTCTGTGTCGATAGTAATAACTATTTCAATAAGATTTTGCAAAAAAATTAACCTTGTACACCGTGTTCCTTTATAAGACATAGGCTAGGTTATACATATATGTATATATATATATATATATATATAGATATATATATATATTAATCTTAAGTTTCATCAAAATCAGTTTAGTAATTTTTGCTTGAAGGAGTACTAAACATCCATCCGTCTATCCATCCTCAAAAACTTTCGCGTTAATAATATCAGTAGATGTGAACTGAAAAGGAATACGTAAAAATTTGTATACACATGGTTTTATCATTTACTTTGTAAAACTAAAAAATAATTCAAGAAACCCAGCTGTAACATGTTCAAAGCGACTGGACGGATCCCGATGCCCATTTTAATGGCTTCATTAAAATCTAATAAAAACTGAGTTTCGTTTTATTTATAAAATTATACACAAACTTATATGCATATATTATTATACATTAATGTTCTTATATGAACTGTACTATTTTCTTTACATAGACTCTGTAGACGTCCAAATTTTATAAAACATACTTATATGTATGTAACATAATATAATAAATAAATAATATTATACTTGGGATCATTGACTTTTTACAAATATCCTATAGAGCTTTAATTCAGCTCCAATTTTCCTAATTTTACGAGGAACGCTTTCCATTTTTATGGATACTCAAACCTTATGTAGACAATTACAAATATTTAAAAAAAATCGCCAAATCGATCCAGCCGTTCTCAAGTGATGCGCTTACTAAAGAACAACATTTCATTTTTATTTATATGGAAGATACTAATAGCAGTACCCGCAGCTTCGCTCACGATTCAACGTTCCGATCGCTACCAAACTTTACAGCATCAGCTGCCTTTATTACCTGAAAATTTCGTTAAAATCGCTACAGCCGTTTTGGAGTCCATAGGGAACATACATACACACATCGATTTTTAAAGACATAGATGTATGTAATTAAATATACATGTACCTATATATATATATATATATATATATATGTACATAATCAAAGCCAAACTAGTTATAAATATGTACGACATTTATGTAGTTTACACAAACTTTTAGATGACGAATTTCCTTAAAAGTAATACATTGGCTAACTTATATGTTTAACAAATAAAATTGTTCTAGAATCCTGTAGGCAAAGTGAACTGTATGTAGGGCACTACTAAGCTTTATTACATAACGTAACTGCTATAGTTAATTTCTATGTACTATATAGAAGCCGGTGTCGATTAAACGAGAAAGTAGACCGATCAAGGAAGAAGTAGTGTCGGCAACCAACACAATTTGCATAATGCGTATGGATAGTATTGTCTTACAGTAGTTATTTATGTAACAATTATGAAATTATTGTTTATACCTGGTATCTTATTTAATATTTTCAGTTCTATGTAGGGTAGGGAAAGAAAGAGACGAATGACGAGGGAAAGAGACAGAAAATAAGTATTTTTTAAAGATTTTTTGAAGTTATACTTCTTTCGTAACGTTTGAAAAAAAATGAAAGTAAAATTTTTACGCTGCGCGCCCACACCGACAGCCAAAAAGCGACATGATGAAGTTAGCTGCATTCCTTTTACAACCAGAGAGTTGTAACATACGGGATGAAATTTTGAGTTACGCCGAAAAAGTATAACTTCTTACGT